CCCTCTTGGGGTGTTCTTGTTACCCTTCAGGCCGTCTTGGAGGCCTCTTGGGCCGTCTCGAGGGCCTTCTGTGCTGTATCGGCGCCCTCTTTGGCGGCCTCTTGGACCGCCTGGGGCTCGGGCCCTCCAGCGGCGCCCCGGAAAATTCCCGGAGTTTCGCGGCCTCGGCATGGTAGAGCCTTACAGCCCCAGCACCCACCCTTCAGGGCTCAGTGAGCCTTGAGGTACGGCGGATGTATGCAGACGGCTCAGGCCTTGTCTTCTCCAGGAGAAGAGGAAACGTGACAGTGACACTGATGGGATGTGATGACACGGGCTGATATGGTGGAGGGTAGGGAAGGCAATGGGATGGGTAGGAGACGGAGAGGGAGAAGTAGAAGGATGAGGAGGAGGACGAGGAGGAGGACGAGGAGGAGGAGGAGGAGGAGGAGGAGGAGGAGTAGGAGGAGTATGAGGATTGAGGAGGAACAGCAGGACCAGGGAGGAGGGCGGTGGTGGTGGTGGTGATGGCGGTGTTGGTGACGATGGGTACGACGACGACGATGAGGAGGAGTATGCTGATGATGGCGACGATGACGATGACGATGACGATGCTGATGATGATGATGATGATGATGATGATGATGATGATGATGATGATGATGCTGATGATGTTGATGATGATTATGATGATGATGTTGCTGATGATGATGCTGATGATGATGATGCTGATGACGATGACGACGATGATGATGAGGATGAGGATGATGATGATGCAGTTGTTGATGATGATGACGATGATGATGGTGGTGGTGGTGATGAGGATGATCATGATGCTGCTGCTGATGATGATGATTATGATGATGAGGATTGCTGCTGATGCTGCTTCTGATGATGATTATGTTGTTGATGATGATGATGACGATGCTGATGATGAGTATGATGATAATGATGGTGGTGGTGGTGGTGGTGATGATGATGATGATGACGACGATGATGATGATGATGATGATGATGATGATGATGATGATGATGATGATGATGATGATGATGATGATGATGATGATGATGATGATGATGATGATGATGATGATGATGATGATGATGATGATGATGATGATGATGATGATGATGATGATGATGATGATGATGATGATGATGATGATGATGATGATGATGATGAGGACTCAGGTGCAATGTTTCAGAAGTCCTGGGACGTGCTAGCACGCTCGCCTTCGCTAGGAAAGGCGAAGTCCAAAGTTGCGTGCCGTGACCAAAACCCCACCGGAAAATATACAGGACCAGAGACGCCAATCTGCCAACGCGAGGAGGAGGAGGAAGAGGAGGATGATGAGCAGGAGGAGGAGGTCTCTGGAAGTCTCTGGAGGTATCGGGGAGTCCTCAGAGGTTCCCGAAGGCCTCTGGAGGCCTCAGGGAGCTTTCGGAGGCCCGGAAAGGGCCAAAAACATTGACAGACTCTGATGTTTGAACTCTCGAGGATCGAGCGAGACGGAGCGGGGAGAGGGCCTTCCGCCTCGTCCGGGCTTCGGTCCTCCCGGGCTCCCGCCCTGCCGACGGCGGCCAGGCTCGGAGGTTGATAGACCTCCTACCCGGACACGTCGATTAGCGAATTGGCCGTTTTCGCTTCGCGAGAGGGCGTCGCGGCCGTCATTTTCGCGGGTCCAGGTCCGTCGGTTTCGGTCCTAGGCAGTTTTCATCAAAGGGTGGTTTACTGAAGGGAGGCTTGTCCACTGCCGACAGGCAGGGCTCTGGAGGCACGCTTCCCGCCCGCCTGTTCGGCGTCTCTCCGCGGTGGCCTCCTCCTCCGCCTCCTCGTGCGCGCGCGGCACGTGCGGCGCTGTAGGGGGCGCGCGGCGCTGTCACGGGGTCGGAGATCTTGCCTTCTCTGTGCCATGCTCTTCGCTGGTCGTCCCCTTCTTTTCTTTGCGCAGATGGCGCCAACGTGGCGGAGCGAATTTCGTTTGGAAAACCATAGGATGTGCCCAGAGTGTCCTGGATAATTTCGTTCTGGATTTCGAGGTTAAGTTCGCGCGTTTTTTTGTTGGGGCCCGGAATGAAGACTCAAACAAATCCACGCGACATTCACTTCGTTTTTGACTCGCCGATTCGGGGTTTTGCTTGGGCAGAAATCCACGCAACAATCCGCTGCAGCTCGTCTGCAAGGTCGGTGCAGTGACTCGTGCTCTTCCTGTCCCTCTCTAGCTCCTCGTCCTCACCCCGTCCTTGCCTCCGCCGAGGCCCCCGATGCAGCAGCGAACGAGTGGCATGCTTTTGTTGTTTGCCACCCTCGTTTTTCGGGTGTGTGCTCCACCTTGAAAGGCGACCGCCTGAAACCATTACAGTCAATCCGAATAGGGAGGATGAGCAACTTTCCAAGGTTGCCCTTGCATCCTTGCCCTTCGGCCCGTCCTTTGCCGCTTTCGCTGGCCGCGCCCCGCTCGCAAACCGTCGATATGGCCTTCCAAGGTCCTTGCATCCTTACCAGGCTTCCTCGCGATGCTGGTTGACTGTATTCGATGGTCAGAGTTCGGAACATGTGCAATACCTACACGGATGGCAAGTGGCTTCTTTCAACGCGGGGTTGTCGCAGGAGACTTCCTTGAGCTTGATACTCCCACCGTGCCGTGCCTCTTAAAGGTCGAAGGGTGGAGGACCTTGCTCTGCCAAAGGGGAGCCCCCGCCCGAATAGTGGGCCCGCTGAGCCCTGTCTTTCGTGGGGGCGCCTCGGGCAGAGGTAGAGATAGAGAGAGAGAGTGTGCTGATGTGACGACTTATGGGGATGGGTCTTGGGATGGGAGGGTGTGTTGCAGAATCGTTGATACATCTTGTGCTCACTCTGGTCCTGCTTCTTCTTATCATTCTCCTCCTCCTCCTCCTCCTCCTCTCCTCCTCCTCCTCCTCCTACTCCTCCTCCTCCCTCTTCCTCCTCCTTCTCCTCCATTCCTATTTCGCCTCCCCCTACTTTGCGCTTCAGTCTCCTCCTTCCCTTGCCTCCCTCCTGTGCCTTCCTTCCCTAGTCATGATTTTCAGCCGCCTCCTCACACCACGTTGCTTGAAATCCTTGACGGCTCGCGTATCCCTACCTGCCCATCCAGAAACATATCGCCAGGCGAGTTGCCTTGATCAGGGAAGTGAAGAAGCATATAGTGTAACAACCGCCTTGGAAGTGCTTTCTCGGAGGTCTATTGGAACCATCTTGAGGCTCTCTTGAGGTCCTCGCGGGGCCTCTTGGGGCACTCTTGAGACCGTTCTGGGCTCTCTTGGGGCCTTCTTGGCGGCTCGGCGTGGAGGGTCTGGGAGGCCTCTCGAGACGGACCATCTTGGCCCCCATGATCTGAAAAGAGGAAGGGTAGGAATTCTTGCCCCCCCCCCCGGGAGGCTCAAACATGGCGTCTCGTGCCCGTCTTGGGGCGCTCTTGGGCCTGCTATGGATCCTTTTTGGGTCCCTCTCGGGGCTCTCTTGGGCCGTCTTGGGGCCATGGAAAGGCCTCACGAGTCCATCGGAAGCGAAAGGGCGAGAAGGCAAATCGCATTGATTTCCCTAAGGTTTTGGAGCCGTTTTGGCCTCTTGGGGGGGTGTCCTTGGAGGGCTCGGAGGGCACTTGACACCGTCTTGGGGCAATCCTGAGGCCTCTTGGATGTTTGTCGGGGGCTATCTTGAGCCACCTTGAGGTATCTTGAGGAATCTTGGAGGCCATCGTGGGCTCTCTGAGACCCTTTTGGAGCTATCTTGGGCCATGTTGGACGCTCTAGCCCCTCCGTCCCCCCCTCCCTCCCAGGCCCTGGGGAGGGGGTTGGTTGAGATATCCTCCTCCTTCCCCGCCCACTGTCTTCCTCCTCGTCCTGGTTCTCCCATTCCTCCTCCTCGTTCTTCTTTGTCCCTCGTGCTCGTCCTGCTCCTCGTCCTCGTTCTTGTCCTCTTCCTCCTCCTTCCACTCGTCCTCCTCAACCGCCTCCTCCTCCTCCTCCTTCCCGTCCTCCTCAACCGCCTCCTCCTCCTCGTCGTCGTCGTTCTCCTCCTCCTCCTCCCTCTTTTCCTCCTCCTCCCTCTTTCCCTCCCTCCGATTCTTCACCTGTTGCCTGCTTGCGCTCTTCAAAGCATCCCCATACTTCTAGTCTACTTTTGCTCATATCCGTAAGAAGAAAGAGGTCAGTTCTCCGGCGGCGTCCCCCAATCGGAGTACGTTAGATGGTAGTCACGGATGCTGATATTCCTCTTTCTCCACTCAGAAGAATATGTTTTCGGATGGAGTCGGGGGAGGAGGACGCGAGGACGAACCTCACTCACCCAATCAAGCCATGCTTCCTGCAAGGCGCGTCGGCACGACACTTGCTGCAGGCCGTCGGCTGGAAACAATTCCAAAGGTGGAATAGTTGCGCGAGAAGGCAACGAAGGGGTGGTGGGGAGGAAGAACAAGAGGAGCAGAGCGCAGCATGTTTACACAGTCATCGCGGGTGCTGGGGCAAGTTGTGCACCTCTTGAGTCCACTGTTGTCTAGGTCGCCGGGGCCGCCGGCGTTCCACCCAGTTCTTCGGTGTGCCGTTTGGTTGACATCGGACTTGCCGTACCAGGGAACTGGGCTCACTCGATGCTATTTTGTTCTACAGGTCAATTTGCCTATCAAGCAACATCCGGGTATAGATGTCGGCATAGCCTGGTTCGGAGCGTCTGCGTTGGCAGCACGCGATATGTAATTATGTGGTATGCCTTAAAACCGCCGCAGTCTGTGTCTGTCGGCGCACTACAGCCACATATGTTCGAGCGAACGTCGCAGTTTGCTCAACACGCAGCCCTCGTATACCTCGTACTCTGGTTGCCACCCCACTGACGTATGCTTGCGTACATCTTCGACATTTGCTTGAATATGCGCCGTGCTTCCCCCCGTCGTGCCAGAGGAGACTTAAGATGTCGCCACTCGCGCATGTGTGTTTGTCGAGCGTCTCTCTCCCTGCGGGCTCGTCAAGGCAGGCGCAGGATCCCAAAAAGGGGGATGGTCGAGGTCTGCGCCTCGGGCTTCCCGAAGAAGAAGGACGAGCACATCGGCAAGGAGGACCTCCACTTCTACAACCAGCACGGCATTCGGCCACTTCAGGCCCGCCGCATCGAGCCTCACCAGATCCTGGATGCGTGGAAGGCGGGCGAGGTCGCGACGTTCGATGCGCGGACAGCGTGACGGCCGAAATCCCCAGGCTACACCCCGCCGTGCGAGCTCGAAGTGCCCCTGGCCCCCCACAGACATGCTGATGTTCAGCTGCCCCGTCGGAGTCGGTGGCTGCGGCAGTGCGTGCGGTGGAGCGCTCCGAACACGTGAGGAGTTTCAGAGGGCCCTCCTCCCTCTTACGTTCGTGGCGAGGAGGGCCCGAAAGGCCGGCAGCGCGAAGATGACCGCGCTGCACGCTTTGCGACCGGGGCCTGCGAGCTGCCTTTCTCCAGGCAGCCGGCGCCATGTCGCAAAACGGCAGCCGCGGCTCGCCTGGGGGCGTCCAGCGGCGCGTCGCCAGACGAGACGGGCGCCGCGCAGTGTGCTTCTTACCGGGCCATGCTCCCTCAGCTATCTTTCGGGAGCGGCCATGAGGGGGAGATGATTAGGGGTGGTATCATGGCGGGGGCCATGATATCTCCCCAGATGTCATGGCGCCTCTTCTCATTCAATCGCTTCGCTCATTCCGCCCGCCCATTTTTGGGCACTGCTGCGTCGACTGGCCGAGTGGTCGTTGGCGGTGTTGAGCTGCAGGGGCGTCGGCTGTCTTCTGAGGCGTTGCGTGGGGCATGATGCTGTGGCGATTCGTCTGGATTTCTTGGGAGTTGTCAGGGGAATCGGTCGCTTTTCATGGGGCGGCTAGTTGTGTGGTGCTTTGTTGGACTTCGGGTGCCGTCGTGGGGGTTTGCTGGTCGTGGATGCTCACTCTGGGGCTTGCCGATGGGGCGCAGGAGACATTTGATGTGGCGGTGTTGGGGTCTCCTGGCAGGTGTCGCAGAAGCCTTTTGGAGGCAGTTTTGAAGCTCCTTGAGGCCTCGTCAGGGCCGTTTGGGTGCCCTGGGGGCCTGATTTTGGGCCTCTCGGGGGCTTCTTGGGACTTCTGGGTGCTTCTTGCGAGCCTGCTGGCGGTCTCGGAGGGGCCCCTGGGGTCGGAGGGCTTCAAATGTCATTTCGAGTTCCCTCTCTGGGGGCGTCATGGGCCGTCTTGCAGCCCTCTTGGGCCGTCTTGGAGCCCTCTTGGACCCTCTTGGGCGCATCTTGGGGGCATGTTGGGCCCTCTTGGGGCGATCTTGGGGGGCTCTTGGGCAGTCTTGGACGCTGTGAACCTCCGCACGTCGTCTATGCCAGACATGTACGTTTTCCGAAGGAAATGGGACGATTTTTGCTTGTTGGGGCCCTCTTCGAGGGCCTCTGGAGGCTCTCTTGGGGCTTCTCGGCGGCGTCTAGGGCCGTCTGGAGACCATCATCGGCGTCTTGGAGCAATCTTTCGGTGACTCGGGGCCCCTTGGACCGTCTCGGGGGCGTCTCGGAGCCTTCTTGGCGCGTTCCCAGATGTCATGGCGCCTCTTCTTATTTCATTACGTCCCCGGCCCCCCTTCCCTGGGCCGCGTACGTGCCGCTGGCCATGATTTGCGCCCCCCCTCTTGGACGCCCCTCTTGCGGACGCCCCCGAGCCTTGCTCGACGTGGCATCTGCTCGGCAGGCGGCATGTCCAAACGATGCACGCCGGACCGCCCGCTCCAGGCACTTTCGTTGGCCGACCTGTGCTCTCGGGTCCTCGCTGGAATCCACCGTGCGTCTCCCGACCTCCCGCCTCCCCCCTCCCGTCGGGGGCGGAAAAGAGGGGGGTGATGACTAGGGGAGGGTGGATGTCATGGCGCCGGCCATGATATCTCCGCAGATTTCATGGCGCCTCTTCTCATTTCATTACGTTCCAGGCCCCCCCGCTGGGCCGCGCACGTGCCGCCGGTCATGATTTGCACCCCCCCCCTCTTGGACACCCCCCTCTTGGCCGTTCCCGATCCCGCCTCCGTCTCCGCCTCCCCTCCTCCCTCCGCCTCCGCGCTCCGCGTTTCCACTCCGGCGCGCCACTCACGGCGGGTCGTGGCCCCACGGGGGCCTCCGCCCACGGGCTCCGCGGGCGCGACCGCTCGTGCGGGCCCCGTGCCCACTACGGCACACCCCTCGCGCGGATCGTGGCCCCGTGTCGGGCCTCCACCTGCAGTGCCGTTTTTAATACATGCTCCGCGCGCGGATCATGTATAAAAAATGCAAGGATTTAGTATTTAAAGCAACGATGAGTTCATCCATAGATGTATTCATACATTAAGTATTCAAAATTCGATATTTTTCTTAAATCCTATGTATTAAAAACTGCCCTGTACGGTCTCAGTGGGCACGACAGCATGTGGGCCGCCGCCCATGTCGCTGCACCCCTCGCGGGGATCGTGGCCCCGTAGGGAGCTCCACCTTTGGTCGCATTGGATACGACCGCATGCGGGCTCGTGCCCATTTCGGCATAGCCCTCTCGCGGATCGCGGCTCAACAGGGAGCTCCAAGGACGGTCTCATTGGATACGACTGCATGCGGGCTCGTGCCCATTTCGGCATAGCCCTCTCGTGGATCGCGGCTCAATGCGGAGTTCCACCTATAGTCTCAGTGGTTACGACAGCATCTGGGCCTGCGCCAATTTCGGCATGCCACTCACAAGGGTCGTGGCCTCATAGGGAGCTCAATCTACGGTCTCGTTGGGCGCGACCACATGCGGGCCCGCGCCCAGTTCGGTACACCCCTCTCCCGGATCGCGGCCCCACAGGGGACTCAACACGGGACCCCAGTGGGCGCGACCGCATGCGAGGCCGCACCCATCGCGCCCATTTTCCGACTTCCCCGACCACCGTTCCTCTCGCGGCGCGCAGTCCGTGAGAAGAGGGCCGTCCTGGGCTGCGCGCGGCTGGATCGGGTGCGGTCTCTCGCCAGGCTCGTTGTCGTGGGGGCTCCAGGGTCTGTGCACCCCTCCCCCCCTTCCCGTCCCGTCCCGCAGTGGTAGGACATTCTCACGACCGCCAGTCCGATCCCCCTGCTCCCCCTCCTGCGTGGAGGGCGGGGAACGGGGGGGAGGATTGCGCAGGTGGGTGTCACGGTGTTCTCGCCTCCTGCCGACACTCTCCTCTTCCGCACGAGAGGCGCAGCCACTCTGGAGTGCGGGCTCGACCTCCACCGAAGGCTTTCCGCCCGAAAGTTCTCTCCTCCGCCGTAGAGGTCTTGCAGGCGTTTGATCCTCTGAGCTTCCTCCCCTGCTTCCCGCGTTTGCGACGGCGACGAACTGCGCGCGCGTGCTTGCCCCAGGGTTGTCGAATGCTTCCGCGTCTCCCCGCCTCTTGCCAGGGGGCCCAGCCACCAACCTACACGAGTCCCGTCAAGGGGCCAATCTTGGGTTCAGGATCGGTGTCTGCCCCTTCCTGGCCAAGCCCCCATGCCAAGGTCGGCCTGGCCAGGATCGGAACAGGTGCTTCGGTGGTGTCGTCCTGTTGTGCCCCGCCCCGAGGAAGCTGCTTCCAGAGCACCTTTTCGGCATCAGCATCCAAGACATCGCCACCAAGCTCGGGGACAAGGAGCCCACTGGTCTGTTGCCGCCGCGGCGGCTCCGTCCCACCTCTTGGGCCGTGCTGTGGGCAATCTCTCTCTCCCTCTCTCTTTCTCTCCCTCCCTCCCTCCCTTCTCCCTCTCTCTCTGCCTCTGTCTCTGCCTCTGTCTCTGCCGCTGTCTCTGTCTCTGTCTCCCGTCTCCGTCTCCGTCGCTGTCTCTGTCTCTGTCGCTGTCGCTGTCTCTGGCTCCATGTCTATCTCTGTCTCTGCCTATGTCTCTCTCTCTCTCTCTTTGCCCTGCCTCCGCTGCCTGCCAGTCGACGCGCACCTGGACGGCCTCTACTGGCCCCGACGACCGGGGTCGCCCGCCTCCGCGGCCGCCGACGCGCCCCGCAGGCTAGCCCCTCCAGCAGGACGGGGCCCCCCCGGGCCCTCCCGGAGGGCGTCGGGGGCCAGGCCAGGGTGCGCGCCCCGGACTGCAGCCAGGCCCGGGTGGACCAGTTAACCCGTGGGCCCCCCTGGCGCGCCCGCAGAGCCCGTCGCAGGGCGGCTGCCCGGGCTCCGCGGTCCTCGATCGCCTCCCGGGCTGCTGTGAGGGAGGCCGCCCTCCGTGCCGCCGTCTCCGCCCTGCGACATGCCGTGCGGCAGGCCTCACCGCCACTTGCCCCGCGGCTCAGGCTCGTACGGCGCCGCTCCTCTCGCTCGCCTCCAGCGCGCGCAGGCCGCTCGCGACTCGCCAGTTTGCTGCTACTAGGGCCCTGGCGGCCACCTCCCCCACGGCTGGCCTTGCGCTTCGCTTTGGAGACTGTAGGCCTTCCAGATGGGGTCCGAGTAGATGGTGTGGGAGGATCGCGGCACATCGCCGACGCATTGGCGATGCGGCGCGATGCGGAGTCCGATTTTCTCCACGCCGACGGCGTCGATGTACCGCCGACGTCGCCGAGGCATCGCCGAGGCATCGGCGATGCATCGCCGACGTGTCGCCGATGCGGCGCGATCCTCCGACCCCATCTACTCGGGGACCCCATCTGGGAGGCCTCTAGCGACGCTGCGGCGCCGCTGGGGCGCTTCGCCCTCGGCCCGGCCGGCAGGCCCACGGCCTCCTCCTCCTCCTCCTCCTCCTCCTCCTCCTCCTCCCTCCTCCTCCTCCTCCTCCTCCTCCTCCTCCCCCTCCTCCTCGTGCTCTTCCTCCTCCTCCTCCTCCTCCCCCAGCTGGGCGCCAGGAGGGCGCCAGCTGGGCCAGGCCGCTCCCGGGACCGGGCCCACCGTCTGGCCCAGGACCTGCGGTCGTCGTTCCGTCGCTTCGGGCTCCGTCTGGGCTGCCGTGCGGTGCGCCTCGCCCTCGCCGCGCAGCGGCCCCGTGCCGAAGTTGCGGAGAAGGAGGAGGAGGAGGAGGAGGACGGGGAGGAGGAGGAGGAGGACGGGGCGGAGGAGGAGGATGAGGAGGCGGATGATGATGATGATGATGATGATGATGATGATGATGATGATGATGATGATGATGATGATGATGATGATGATGATGATGATGATGATGATGATGATGATGATGATGATGATGATGTTGATGATGATGATGATGCTGCAGCTGCTGATGATGAAGATGATGATGCTCAGGATGATGATGATGATGACCATGATGATGATGATGATG